AGGCCGCGCGCCTCGGCCTGCCCCTGCTGACGGACTGTGCCCAGCCCGGCAGGGCCCACAGCGGCCCCCAGCGCAGCAAGCCCAAGAAGAAGTCCAAGAAGCACAAAGACAAGGACAGGGCGGCCGAGGAGCGGCACTGCGCCCCCCGGCCCGCCGACCTCGCACCCGCCACCCACGGCGCCCCGCCAGATGCCCCCGGTATGTGCCTCGGGCCTGGGGGCTTTGCGGGAGGGGGCAGTGGGGACCGCCTTCCTGCAGGGCTGCATCTGCCATCTCCCGGGGACAAGCCCGAGGGGGTGACGTGCTCAGAGCGGACCCAGTGGCAGGTGCCAAACACCGAGGGGCACCCAGGGTGGGGCTAGGGTATGCTGGCACTCCAGGGGCCAGTAGGGGACATCGGAGCTGGTCCCACCCACACAGGTCTGGGACAGGTCCAGGTGGATGGAGTCCGCAGGAGGGGAGGGAGCTCTGGGACCACCGGGGCCTCGTGTGGAGAAAGGATTTGGGGTTGGCACACGGGGTCCTGGCAGGGGTCGGGGGGGCCGGAAGGGAGCCCAGATAGTAGGGATTCCCTCTGCAGGAAGGGCGTCAGGACCTCGCAAGGACACCTGAGTTAGGGTGTCAGGTGCCCAGGGGCCACCGAGGGAGCATGGGGGGGCGTCTCCTGACGCCAGGGCCTGAGACAGAGGGACCTGGGGGTGGCATAGGAATGAGGAACCGGCAGCCCTGGCCGGAGCCGTGGTGGAGCTCAGAACTGGCCTCCCGGGCAGCTCGTCCCGGCCCCAGCCAGCAGTCACTTCTCACTGCGGGACAGCCAGTGAGCTGTGGGGTCCAGCAGAACAAGCAGGAAGTGACTGCAGCCAGCCCCAGCCTAGTGCTGAAGTAAGTCGCACAGGGCCTGCTGCGGTTCAAATCCCGGCCCCGGCCGCTGGGGGAGCACGCCTGTGCTGTGCGCCCATGGCCCTGACAGGGTGAGGGGACGGAGGAGACGGGAAAGGAAGGAAAGGGAAAGGAAAGGGCCAGCTGCTGGCTGCTGTTTAAGGCGGCTGGATGCTACCTGGCCGACCACGGTTTGAGTCCCAGACCCGGCAGCTTGAAACCCACACCAGGCGCATGTGCGTGTGTGCCCAAAATACCCAGAGGGGGGGACCAGCAGATGGCGTAATGGCTATGTCGCTGGACTCCCACGTAGTCGACCGCCATTCAAGTCTCGGACCCGGTGTCTTCAACTCACGCTGGGCGCGTGTGCGTGCGTGCCCAAGATCCCAAGAGGAGAATGGAGGAGAAGGGATTGCGGCGTGGCCATCCCCCCTGGGGGGTGATTTCTCTCTTTCTGTCTCTATGT